GGCTACTGGATTAAGAAAAAAATGGTTAAGGGAGCAAGTAATCCCTTACCACGTTTCTCACAAACCATAAGTAATAAAAGCCAGAGAGTAGTCTAAGATCAAGTTAAAACATTTCACCTGGGGACGTTTGGGTAGAAAGAGTTGCCTGCGTGAATTCACCAAGATTTTTCTGGACCATCAGCTTGTGACATCCCTTCTAGATACCATCTCCCCCCACTGCATCTTAAAACAGCAGTCCTTCCTGTGAAATTTGTGTGATCTTAGAATTGGATAATTGTACATCTTGAGGGGTAAGTATAAATGCCAGCAGATACCAAGTGTGAAGAATCCCCTAGGGGTAGGAAAAGTGTGAACAGGACATGTACTTGATGCCAGAGTTACTGCTCCTTTACCATTCAAGTGGGAACCAGCACCTGTCTCTTTGGCTTGTCGCAAGAGTCGGTAAATGCAAGCTTGGATATTTCTCTCCACAAACCCAATGAATTCCTGGTCTTCCAGATGGGGACTTTTTTTTCCAGTTAGAATTCATAATTAGTTTGAAAATGGCTGAATGTCTTTCCTACCAGTGTGTACACTCCACAGGGGCAGGGCTAGGCCTAGGGCTGTCTCAGTCACAATCTCCAGCTTCTGGTGCATGATAGGTACTCGTGCAGCATTAGGGAATGGACGGTTCCAGGGATACTGCTCCCTAATTTTGAGGAAGTCAATAAAAATTTTATAGAGGATAAAGTTAAAGGAGCCTGTTTAGCTAGAGGGAGCATGTATTGGTATTTATCAGAAGGTAAGTTAGAGGCTGGGCGTGGTGGCTCACGCCTGTAATCCTAGCACTCTGGGAGGCCGAAGCAGGAGGATCCCTCAAAGTCAGGAGTTCAAAACCAGCCTGAGCCAAGAGTGAGACCCCGTCTCTACTAAAAAAAAAAAAAAAAAAAATAGAAAGAAATTAATTGGCCAACTAAAAATATATAGAAAAAATTAGCAAAGCATGGTGGTGCATACCTGTAGTCCCAGCTACTCTGAAGGCTGAGGCAGGAGGATCGCTTGAGCCTAGGAGTTTGAGGTTGCTGTGAGCTAGGCTGACACCACGGCACTTTAGACCGGGCAACAGAGTGAGACTGTCTCAAAAAAAGAAGGTGGTAAGTTGGTTTAAGCGGTTAAGTGTCTTTGATTTATAAAAGTTTGTCAAATTACTTTGATTTTTTTTTCTTCTTTACTTCATGGAGCACACCTTTTATTTGTTCTTAAATTACATAGAGGAAGATTGCTTCCTTCCGTAAGGCAGTGTAAAATATAGTACGTATTAAAGGCTTGACATGAGACTAAGTGAGATAGTGGAGGTTTTTTTGTTTGTTTTTTGAGACAGTCTCACTTTGTTGTTCTGGCTTAAGTGAGTCTCGTGGGGTCAGCCTAGCTTACGGCAACCTCAATCTCCTGGGCTCAAGCAGTAGCTGGGACTACAGGCATGTGCCACCATGCCCCGCCAATTTTTTTTGTAATATATATATATATCTTTTTTTTAGTTGGTCGATTAATTTCTTTCTTTTTTAGGTAGAGACGGGGTCTCGCTCAGGCTGGTTTTGAACTCCTGACCTCTATGGATCCGCCTGCCTTGGCCTCTCAGGGTGCTAGGATTATAGGTGTGAGCCACTGCGCCCGGCCAAGATAGTGTTTATAAAAGATAAGCAAGGTTAATAGGATGATGCTTCCGCTGTATCTGTCCTGTCTTGCCTCTTTGAAATTGACTGGCTTTGTATTTATTACTACTTGGGCCAATCTTTGTAGGCAACTTACAACTCAAGGAAAAACAAACTTAACTAATGCATTTTCAGGCGCTTGTGAGTCTATAATAAGAAGTCTAATGGTTTGGAGAGCCAGCAAAAACAGCTAACTCTTCTGGTGAGAGAAGGAAAATTTGAGTGTGGTCTTTTTTTTGAGGATCTGGTACTGGTTGGGGGGGATTCAAAAATGAAAAAGTGAAACATTCAAAAGTAGAAGAGAATAATTAACCCCATGGATGTATTTTTTTTTTTTGAGACAGTCTCAGTCTTGCCTAGGCTAGAGTGCCGTGGCGTCAGCCCTAGCTCACAGCAACCTCAAACTCCTGGGCTCAAGCAACCCTTTCTGCCTCAGCCTTCTGAGTAGCTGGGACTACAGGCATGCGCCACCATGCCTGGCTAATTTTTTCTATATATGTTTTTAGTTAGCCAATTTCTTTCTATTTTTAGTAGAGACGGGGGTCTCGCTCTTGCTAGGGCTGGTTTTGAACTCCTGACCTTGAGGGGTCCTTCTGCTTTGGCCTCCCAGAGTGCTAGGATTACAGGTGTGAGCCACCGCACCCGGCCTAAAAACTAGAAATCTTATTTCCTCTTTACCCATTCTGTTTTGAATTAAATCACAAATATGCCATTTCATTTATGGGTTTTTTGAGACAGCCTCAATCTGTTGCCTTGGGTAGAGTGCAGTGACCTTTCATGGTTCAATGCAACCTCAAACCCCTGGACTCGAAGCGATCCTCCTGCCTCAGCCTCCCTAGTAGCTGGGACTAAAGCTGATTTTTCCGTTTTTTTGGTAGAGATGGGGTCTGTCTCTTGATCAGGCTGGTCTTGAACTCCTGCCCTTAAGCGATCCTCCCACCTCAGCCTCCTGAGGATTACAATTGTGAGCCACTGCACCCAGCCTCATATGTGAATATTTAAGTAAATTAGAGAGACCCTGATTTCTACTGAATCAACCTGATCCTCCATCACTTTCTTGCATATGGAAATGCCGTCTGTTTTCGTTTCCTAGGGCTACTATAACAAGTTCCCACAAACTAGGCAGAAAATTATTCTCTCAGCTCTGGCGGCCAAAAGTTCAAAATCAAGGTGTCCGCAGGGGCCATACTCCCTCTGAAGGCTCTAAGAATCCTACTTTGCCTCTCCCTGTCATCTGGTGGTTGTCCATAATCCTTAACATTCTTTGGTTTGTAGCATGATTTCAGTCTTTCCTTTATCCCTTTGTACCCTCTTGTGTCTGTGCCTCTCCTCTTCTGAGGTTGTCAGTCTTTGGATTTGGGGACTACTCTCATCCAGTATAACCTCATTTTACCTGATGATTTCTACAAAGACGACCTTTCCAAATAGGGTCACATTCTGAGGTTCTAGGTGGACATGAATTGCAGGGGGCGGGTGCTATTCAACCCAACATGCCATCCTTCACCATCCAAATCGGTTTGTGAGTTCACATGGCAAGTGGTGCTAGTGCTGGTGTTGTACCGTGCCACCAATGTAAGCACTAGTTTCTTTGATTTTTTTTTTTTTCTGAGACAGTCTCACTTTGTTGCCCAGGCTAGAGTGAGTGCTGTGGCGTCAGCCTAGCTCACAGCAACCTCAATCACCTGGGCTCAAGTGATCCTACTGCCTATGCCTCCTGAGTAGCTGGGACTACAGACTTGTGCCACAACGCCTGACTAATTTTAGTATATATATTTTTAGTTGGTTGATTAATTTTTATTTATAGTAGAGACAGGGTCTGGCTCAGGCTGGTTTCGAACTCCTGACCTTGAGCAATCCACCCACCTCACCCTCCCAGAATGAGCCACCACGGCCGGCCTGATTTTTTTTTTTAATGCCAAAATTCATTTTATTTGTTTGCTCTTTTTTTTTTTTTTTTTGTCAGTTACCACTATACTAACAAGGATCTAGAAACAATTAGCCAGGCATGGTGGCGCGTGCCTGTAGTCCTAGCTACTCTGGAGGCTGAGGCAGAAGGATTGCTTGAGCCCACGAGTTTGAGGTTGCTGTGAGCTAGGCTGATGCCATGGCACACTAGCCCAGGCAACAGGGAGACAGTGTCTCAAAAAAAAAAAAAGTTGGATTGTAAGCAACTGAATCCAATCCCTGATCAGCCTTGTTAACTCACAAGACTGGTTTTGCTGCATCAGCTTGGAGAGACAGGCCCCTTGTTCTCCACAATGCAAAAACTGAGAATACCTGTTGACAGCTACATATGCTGAGAAATGAGGGGGGAAAAGACCCTGCTTTCAAGGGGTTATTGTCTATCCCAAGATATATATTCAGGAAGGTGGGCGAGGGAAGGGTGAATTGTAAAACTACAATTTATTGCAGGTCCTACTTCTATGGGCTTTTTGAATAATGGGGCTATAAGGGAATACAAATCAGATTTAACCCTAATTCTAAAACCTCTCACTTCAGGGTGTGGGTCGAAGATATGCTCATGTGGTGTTGAGGAAAGCAGACATTGATCTCACCAAGAGGGCAGGAGAACTCACTGAGGATGAGGTGAGGAGGTTGGAGGTTGGGCTGGGGGTTGGGCTTGCCTCAGAAAGGGACCATCTAGATCTTTGTCCTGCCTGCCAGGTGGAACGTGTGATCACCATTATGCAGAATCCACGGCAGTACAAGATCCCAGACTGGTTTCTGAACAGGCAGAAGGATGTAAAGGATGGAAAATACAGCCAGGTATGTATGGAGATGGGGGCAGGGTTGGAGGAAAGGGGGCTCCAAATAGAATTGGGCATAGGAGGTTGGAATAAAGCAAACATCTTCACCCTCTCCTCCAAATCCAGGTCCTGGCCAATGGTTTGGACAACAAGCTCCGTGAAGACCTGGAGCGGCTGAAGAAGATTCGGGCCCATAGAGGGCTGCGACACTTTTGGGGGTGAGTGGGGGTGGAGGTTTCATCTGCCTGCCTCTCTCTAGACTCCCTCCCACCATTATTTGTGTTCAATTTTCCTTTTCCTCCAACCTTTTCTTTGCTGTGTGTGACCTATGACCCTTCTCTTTTTTACCTGCAGCCTTCGTGTCCGAGGCCAGCACACCAAGACCACTGGCCGCCGAGGCCGTACTGTGGGGGTGTCCAAGAAGAAATAAGTCTGTAGGCCTTGTCTGTTAATAAATAGTTTATATATGTATGGCTTCCTTCTTACTGGTCCTCCATTATTCTGGTGACACTGATGGTATTAGTTTTACAATGGCGATGGGCCCCTTCCTCTGCCCCCCAGTCACTGTATGTCCAGCTAGTAGTGATGTCCCACCCTGTGATGCACAGATAACGCGGGAGATGGAACAACCAACATGCAGCCTTGGGGGTTGGTGTGTACATTGGTTGTGGGTTCCCAAGCCTAGCCAAAGTCTAAGTTGCAGTCAGTTATTTGCAGGTCTTGACCACCCTGGGGTTCTATAGTTGGAGGGTTGGGGGCAGGCTGGTAAGGAAAAAGTCATTTGTCCTTAACCTTACAAGGACAAGCAACCGGCAGACAATCGTGGCCATAAAGGGAGCCCCCGCCCCCCGCTTGGAGGAGAGGCTGGCTGGCGTGGAGGCGGACCAGACGCCAGACCGCATCCCAGCCTGCCCGCACATGCGCCTGCGGTATTGCGTCGCGCTGCTCCTACGCCGCTTCCGGCGGGGATGTAAACGCGACTCGGAACTGGCGGGGAGACGGGCAGTCGCAGGAGAGGGTGGGGCAGCTGGCGGAGCGGAGGCTGGGGCGGCAAGGTAACCATCCGCTCAGGGCGCCGCCGCCTTCTCTTTCCCAGGGTGGGCTGGTACTGGCCGCGCGCCTCCCGCTGCGGCCCAGGCGTGGCCGGTTAGGTACGAGCCTGTGACCCAGGCCAGGGAGAGCTATGCTTTCCAGCCTGTAAGCGTCCTGCTTTCCCTCGAGATCCCTACCAACTGTGCCACGCCATGCCCCTCAGCCTCTTCCGGCGCCTTCTCCTCGCTGCCCTGCTGGTGGTGATCGTCTGGACCCTCTTCGGGCCCTCGGGGATTGGGGAAGAGCTGCTGAGCCTCTCGCTAGCCTCCCTGCTGCCAGCCCCAGCCTCACCAGGGCCGCCCCTGGCCCTGCCGCGCCTCTTGATCCCCAACCAGGAGGCCTGCAGTGGTCCCGGCGCTCCTCCTTTCCTGCTAATTCTGGTGTGCACGGCCCCGGAGAACCTGAACCAGAGAAACGCCATTCGAGCCTCCTGGGGTGGGCTGCATGAGGCCCGGGGGCTCAGGGTGCAGACGCTCTTCCTGCTGGGAGAGCCCAACAGGCAGCACCCTAGCTGGGGCTCCCACAGGAACGACCTGGCGAGGGAGTCAGCTGCCCAAGGGGACATCTTGCAGGCAGCCTTCCAGGACTCCTACCGAAACCTCACCCTCAAGACCCTCAGTGGGCTGAACTGGGCTGACAAACACTGCCCCATGGCCCGCTACATCCTCAAGACGGATGATGATGTGTTTGTCAACGTTCGGGAACTGGTGTCAGAGCTGGTCCTGCGAGGAGGCCGCTGGGAGCAATGGGAGAGGGGCACAGAGCCCCAGACACAGGCTGTGGTTGGAGATGAACAGCTGCAAGGAGGCCAGGCCTTGCACAGCAAGGCAGTGCCTCTTCTGTACCTGGGCCGGGTACACTGGCGGGCAAACCCCTCTCGGACGCCAGGGGGGCGGCACCAGGTGTCAGAGGAGCAGTGGCCTCCAACCTGGGGCCCTTTTCCCCCCTATGCCTCGGGCACAGGGTATGTGCTGTCGGCTTCTGCTGTGCAGCTCATTTTGAAGGTGGCCAGCGGGGCACCCCCTCTGCCACTAGAAGATGTCTTTGTGGGGGTAAGTGCCCGACGAGGAGGACTCGCCCCAACCCACTGTGTCAAGCTGGCTGGCGCCACCCATTATCCCCTGGACCGGTGCTGCTATGGGAAGTTCCTGCTGACATCCCACAAGTTGGACCCCTGGAAGATGCAAGAAGCCTGGAAGCTGGTGGGTGGCTCTGCTGGAGAAAGGACTACGCCATTCTGTTCCTGGCTCCAGGGAGCCCTGGGCATCCTGCGGTGCCGAGTAATGGCCTGGCTTCACAGCTGAGAGTACCTGCGGCCAAGGAGAGGTATGAGGAGCTGACAGTCCAGCAGCAGCCCTGGGACCTTCTCTTCTCACAGGGCCCAAGACAGGGGCCCTACCTGGTTGCAGCTGATCAGTTTCCTCATGTTGTCTGTCACCAAAGACAAGGATGTAGGAGAACCCTAGGGGCCTGGCCTGCCAGCCCCAAAGATGGTCATTAGGAAGGATAAAAGAGGGCTGGAATTGTTCTCTCCAGCCAGGGCAGAAGAAGGGCAAACACGCCTCAATAAACTTGTCTCTCCACCTCTTTGAGTGCAATGTGGTCTTCACTAGGACTCCCAGAACACAAACTGGAGAGCCCGCCCAGAGGCTGCTGGGCCCTGCCAATGGGAAGGACATCTCCAGGGACATGGGAGAAAGGACAGCCTCTCTCAGGAGGAAAGGCTCCTAAAAGGCAAGGTTAAGGCCACAGCAACCACAAGGTATGGGGCAGGGATAAAGGCAAAACACTGTGACCCCTCTGATCCTAGAATAGTCCCGTGCTGGGCGAGGAGGAGGGGAACAGGTCCACAGGATGATCTAGACACATCATCCAAAAAAATCACTTTCCTCTTTATTACCAACCCACCCTAAGAGCCAGCTGTCTACCTCCAACTGGGGAAGGGAGCACATCGCCCCCTCCTTGTTCCAGGGGACAGGCATTTCCCTACAGGTGATCTTGGGGAAAGACTGTTCCCAGGGCACCCTAGAACCTGGCTCAGCGCACGAATCTGTCCAGGGCAGATGGCCAGGCTCCAAAGGGTTTGGTCTTCTTTTGCTTGTGCTGCTTCTGCTGCTCGAAGCTCTGCCGGACCTTCTCCTGGGGACAGGAGAGGGAGAGAGGACATGGGTCAAGTGATAAGTGGCAGCAGTCCAAGCAGGAGGGTAAGGCTCATGGGAGTGCTCATTTACCCTGTGCTCCTCGTCCATGACCTTCCTCTTCCTCTTCACCAGGCTTGCTGTAGAGCTGCGGCCCTTCTGCTTTGGCTTTGGCTGGAAGGGAGTCTTAGCTTCGGGGTCATAGCCCTGAGGGAGGGAACAGGAGTATAATTTGTTGCAGCCTCAGAGTCAGGGCACTAACAGCACCCACCTGCTGTGCCACACCTCTGGGGCAGGCCCATGGTGGGTGGAGATGGGGTGAGGAAGGGCCTGGGCACTTGGGCCTGCTCCATACCAGCCTCTCTATCCGCTCTTTCTTTTCCTGCTCCAAAGAGATGACATCCACCTCTGCCAGGGCTCGTGGGTCCAGACAAATAAGCTCTGCAGGTACCTGGGAGTGTCACAGAGGGACTGGAATGGGCAATGAGCCACAGGAGGATGGCACCAAAGAGAAGCCGGGAGGCTGCGGAAGCCCTCTTCCCAAGATCCCCCAGCTTAAGAGCTCTGGGGAGCTTTCCCCACCCCAGCCCCACACACAGATACCTTCTCTGGTGGGGAGAACCTCACCTTCTCCAGCAGGGCCTTCACCTCCCACTCCTGGCGCTGTTTCCGGCTCCTGTAGGGGTTACTGTCCAGGCCGTCAAAGTTGGGCTCAGCAGCTCCTGGAGGCAGTGAGGAGCATGGAGCCATGAGGAAGAAGCCAGGCCAGCCGCTCCAGCCTGGCCAAGCCCCATGCTCCTGGCTGTCTCAGGCCCCCCAAATGTGGAGCCAGAGTTGATCCAGTGGATCCAGAGTTGGAGCCCCATCCCTGGCCCACTCACCGGGGACCAGCATGCTGGTGACGCCCCCACTGTGGCCCACCCCTAGCACGTCTTCAAAGGGGCAGAACTGAAGGCCATGCACAGGGCCTGAGAGCCGGTGGGTAAGGTAGAGCTGCTCAAGGGAAGGTGGGCCAGCCTGGCCCTGCCCTGCCCAGATGTTGACGACATCGCCCATTCCCGCAACCAGCAGTCCCCGCTGGGAGAAGGCCAGGTGCCCTGCTCCCTGGGGCAGGGTCCGAGCACTCAGAGGCTGGAATGTCCCTCGCAAGTCAAAGATCTTCAGCTGGTGGTCCAGGCCAGAGGTGGCCATGTACCTGGGGGGAAGGAGGATCAAGATCAATTAATCTGTCAGTAAATGGGTTTACTAAGCTTGTGGCCAAGTCCAGCTGAGGAGAAAAAGGCCAATGATAACAACTGCTGCCCTCACACTAACACTCCACAGGCATCCTCTCAGTTAAGCCTCACACAGTTCTGTACTATTTTTATTTCCCTTTTACAGGTGAGGAACTGAAGCTCAGAGAAGGGAAATCTGGGTTAGTGAATGGTTGGACTGGGATTCAAGTCAGGCCTGTTTCTCTAGTGTCTGCATCTTATCTGCTCACACCACACTCCCTACCAAGACATGAGGCCAAGGGAGCACACCTACGACAGGCTGTACCTAAATGTGACATTCCCCTGTGTAGACTCGCAGCAAAGGAAAAGAGCATCTGCAGTGGTCAGGAAGGGCTTCCTGGGCAAGGCGGGATTTGAGCCATTCTAGGTAATTCTCAAGAAAGCATGATAAACAGACACAGCAGGTACAAATGCGTTAACACGTGCTATCATGAGATGGAAGCAGAGGTTTGTTTTCAGTGAGATGAGATGAGGTTTTCAGGATTGGTGGGAAAGATGGTCAGGAAAATCAGAAGGGGACAAATTGTAGGGTCTTTTTAAAGTCAGACTGAGGACCCACAGCTCATTATCCCAACACTGCTCTCTGGCAGTGACAAATCACACACTGAAGACTGCATGGACTTGAGCAAACCAACTTAGGAAGTAGTGGAGTAATGCGCTGCAGGGTTGGGCCCTGCCCCTCTCTGCTTCCCCTGGAAGGAGGAAGGCAAGGGTGGTAACCACATCCTCTCAGGGAACCGTGCACTGCATAAGCTGTCAACCTTCAGAGCTTGGAGTTTCTATGTTCAAGTTTTTCCTTAGAGAGGGAGGCTGAAGAGGGACCATCCAGGCAGGGGAGGCATGTTTGCCAAGGGGCCAAGGACTTCAAGACTTGCCCTGGTGATGGAGCCCATGAGAGGTCCAGCTGGGTACTTCTGACAAGATAATCAGGGCCTCAGCCCCACCACAGGGGCTATTAATGCAAACCAGGAATTGCACATGGCTCCTAGGACATGGGGTCACACCCTGCAGTGAAGCAACTCAAGAGCACATGCTGGCTCCTCTCCCCTACACCCACCCATCTATGGTAGCCCCTGCGTAAATAGCAACCCAGCAGCCAGACAGCAGTCTAGGCCACATTACTGTACTACTAAACTTGCAAGAAGCAATTCAGCTTTGAGAAGCCAATCCAATCCTAACACAAACTTCCAGAAAGCCTTTGAGGATGGTCAGCTTCATCTCTGGAGAACCCCTGGCCTGTGTGAAGACTTCCTGAGGAGAACCAGAGAAAAGTGAGGAGGGAGACCTAAGATCAAGGACCAGAGAGCTGTTCAGCATCAAGGTGCTGACTAGACCCCAGGCGTCAGTGAACTAGTGACTAAGCCTGAAGCACAGGCGAGGAGTGGCTGACCAAGGTAGCCCGGGAAGGGTAAGCTACACCCACAGAGGCACAAAGCCTCAGACAGACCTCCCCACTCTCCTAGAGCCAGGCTGGCACAGATAGGGAGTAAGAAGGGCTGAACCACATGGCTTGTTTGCAAAGATGCAAACATGGAAGGCCAAGGGGGTCCAAGCACCCTGGAGGCTTTCGTAAGTTGGTGACCACCAAGCTTTTCCCTTTCCATGCATTTGCTTATTGATTTTTTTTAAAGCAACTTAAAAATAGATTATGTAGTCTATACTTAATGTAACAGATTCCTGGGCAGCAGTGTAAAGGAGGAAAGCAGCCTGTGGGAAAGATTATTTTGACAAGAGTGCCTAGGACAAGCAAGGAAGAGCCAGAGGCTGGAAATGGCTGTATCACTCAGGCGCACAGGAGACAGCAAAGATGGAGACAGCTCTGGGAGGGCACCCTGAGGAAGAGAAGCCAGGACTTCACAGGTAGTCATGATACCACCAAAGTATCAGAGCCGGGAGACCCGGAAGGCACTCATGAAACAGTACTTTTGGTTCCTGCTCTTCCTGATGGCCAAAGAACGTGAGGACTATTTATAGCTACAGGAGTCAAAGAAGTCCAATTCTGGGTGGTGAAAATTCTGGGAGAACGGAAGCAGGCAAGGAGGAACTCTGGGAGTAACGTGACCTATTCATTTTGGTCACATTGAGTCTGGGATGACAAAAGACAACTGAATAGAAACTAAATGCATCACCTGGCCTCATTCCCATAACCATGGCCATCTGTTTTGTACCTAAAGTGTAACTGGAACACCACACCAGGGCAGGCTCAACAATTCAGCCCTGTGTCCCCAAGACCTCAGCACAGAGCCCCACCCACAGCAGGTGCCCTGTGAATGCCTGATGGATGAAAGGAATTAGAGAAAAGTACAAATCAGAAAGCGCAGCTGTGGAAGATGCAGGTATTCCCTCAGGAACAGCAGACACACCACCCCCGCCCTCATATCACCATCCAGGCCTGAAGAGAAGGCTCCTCTTTATGACGACAATGACAGTAGTGCTGCCCATCTGCTGTGTCCTGTGCTAAACTCTGTATATACCTTAACGAGTTTTAAAGCCTACCACATCTTTATGAAGGCTTTAGACCAGGGCTTGGTAAACTACGCCCATGGGCCAAATCTGCCCACTATCTATTTCTGTCCAGCCCATAAGCTTAGAATGGTTTCTACATTTTTAGGTGGTTGCGGAAAAAAAAAAACCAAAAGAAGGATATTTAGAGATGTGAAAATTAAATGAAATTCAAATTTAAGTGTCCACAAATAAAGTTTTTTGTTGTTGTTTTGTTTGTTTGTTTTATGAGACAGGGTCTTGCTCTCTTGCCCGGCTAGAGTGCTGTGGCATCAGCCTAGCTCACAGCAACCTCAAACTCCTGGGCTCAAGAGATCCTCCTGCCTCAGTCCCAAGTAGCTGGGACTACAGGCATGTGCCACCACACCCGCCTGACTTTTCTATTGTTTGTGGTGTCAGTGTCTTGCTATGTTGCTCAGGCTGGTCTCAAACTCCTAGCTTCTCAAACTCCTGCCTCTCCTCCCAAAGTGCTAGGATTACAGGCATGAGCCACCGCATCCAGCCCACAAATGAATTTTTACTGGAACATACCCATACTCAAGGCACTTATACTGTGGCTGCTTTTGCTCTGTCATACCACAGTCGAGTGACCGAGATAGAGACTATGGCATCTCGATCTTCCCTGCTGCTCAGTGTACACTGCAAGTCACAGTGACACAGTTATAACCTGATAGCATTTCGAGCATCTCACATACCACCTACATTATCACCAGTGTGAAAAGATATTTTCTAAGATGAAATATGTAAAATCTCTCTGCAGATCAGCATTAACGTGAATATTTTGCAATCAAATTTGATGATTTAGAATACTAACTTTGAACCTCAACTAAGCAAAATGTTTTCCTCGAAAAGAGGAATTCAGTTTTTCCCATTAGTAGACCTACATTACAAGAATATCATATTCAATTATTGTATTTTTAATTTCACTGCTTAAAACTTGATGATTTGTCTTCTCGGCCATTATTTAAGTACCTACATAATACCCTCAATTTCTGCCTCTTGGCTAGCAAGGCCTCAAACATTTACTATCTGGCTCTTTGCGGAGAAAGTCTGCTGACCCTTGAGCTAGCCACTCCTATTACCACACTCAGGGTGAGAAAACCATGGCACACAGAGATTATGTGATGTGCCCACACCTACATGGCTGGGCAGTGGTAACACCAATCTTTAAACCTGGGTAGCCTGGCTACAGAGTCTGTCTGTGCTCCTAATGGCACCCTGCCTTCCATACCTTTCTGCCCAGCTGTGACACCCAACACCTCATCCCGAAACTTACGTGCCTGTAGAATCTACTGTCACAGCCCGTACCCCACCACGGTGACAGAGAATCTTTGCCAGTGGTTCCTTCATAGCTGGACTCCACAAAGACACAGTGCCTGGAAGTAAGAAGAGAAGAACTAAAGTTACCAATACAAATCTACCCCTGATGTTATTAAACCTGGGAAAGATGGGGACTCAAGACCAAGAGATAACAAAAGAGGGAAACAAAAGGATAACTTTAAGGGACATAAGATGTACAAATTGTAGAAGAAAAGCAAGTCACGATGGTCAGAAGTCAAAGCCAAGCCAGAGACTGACCATTGCTGTGTCCAAGATGGATAACGGCATTGTAAGGGTTCTGAGTCATGACGCCAAGCCGTCCAGCCCGAGCATTCAGAGCTGCCACAATCTTCCCCACCGATACATCCAGGTAAGTCAGAAACCCTGTCTCTGACTGGCAGAGAGAGAGAGAGAGAGAGAGAGAGAGAATATGACTGGGGCCTGACTGCCCTGTCTTCTCTCTACTAGGGTCCTTGAGGGGAAGTGGTCTTCCCAAGGGCTGCCACCCAGTCCTGTGCTTCACAGCCACTCACAGCTGTGGCCAGGAGGAAGTGGAAAGGCAGGAACTCAAGCCGTGTTACTCGGTCACAGCGTCGGATGCAGTGGAGCTCAATGCCCTGGTTGTCATAGATGTGAAGCCAGCGGTTCTGAGCGACAGCAAGCAGCGCCTCAGAATGGAGAAACCTGCAGGGAGTGCAGTGGTGGTTCAATGGGAGACAGGGTCATGGGCTGTCATTCAATGAAGAATGGGCTGTCTCACCCCCACTGACCACTGACCGGATGTCCCGCACTGCCTCCATGACGTTGATCTCACACATAAGCCTCTTTGTCACCCAGTCAAGGGCAGCCACATGACCCCGACTCCCTCCAAAAGCCAGGTGTCTGTTGGAGGTGAAGGGCAGGCAAGGTGTTATTACAGGGGAGCGCCCTGGCTCAGTCTGAGGTCTGCCGCACACCAGCTCCTCCTGTCCGGTGGGAGGAGAGATGCTGCTGCGGACGCCCCCTCACAGCCAAGCAAATCAGGACCCCCGCATCAGCCACCCACGTGTATTCTGGGTATGGCTGAGGCGGGTAAGGCTGAGGTGGGTAAGAAAACACAACCACATTTTAGTTCAAGAGTCACTGCAATACAAACCTTACCTCCCAGTTCGAGAGTAGTTCAGTCTATAGGGTCCAAACTGCCGCAGATTCAAGTCAAAGTGCTAGGAAAGAGAAGAGTGGGGGAAAAAATCAAGAAAGAATAAATTCTCTTCAGTAATTCTCTCTTCTAGTCCCCATTTCTCTTGCCCTGCACCACAAATCAACCCTCCTCAGGTTCACCTTGGCTGCACTTGCAATGTCCACAGCCTCCACGATGTCAGCCTGGAGTATCTTTGCTGTGTCTTCCCCATTCTCTCCTTCCAAAAACCTGCAAGTGAAGGTTAGAATGGCAGTAAAGTTTCCTACATGAAGTGGGTACTCCAACACAAAAACGAGAAAAGACAGTTCAGTAAAGCAAAGACTAGAGAGGCCCAGATTAGGGTACACTTACCCAGGTTCCTCAGCAAGCAGCAGTTCAGAACGAGCAGCTTTGACACTTGTTTCCTCTTCCTCAGCTTCAGCCACCTCAAGCCTATTTCGGGTTTTGGATTTCGAATGTGGTATCTGTAAAATTGTTGTTGGAGAAGCAGTAGGTGAAGAACCAGAGGATAAGTAGGGTCAAAGGAGAGCCACCTGGTCAAGACTCTATCCAACTCACCCAGACATTCCCTGCCTCCAACCCTGCTCCTCTTCTACTGGACCTCACCTTTTTGGATTTGTCAATGCGACAGAACTTCTGTACCACCTCAACAGGGACGGGAGCGGGGCCTGGGAATGGGTCCTGGGCCTGGGGCAGAGAGGAAGCAATTAGCAAACAGGCTCGGGTTGATCACTAATCCTCTCACTCTTAAAGCGCAAGGCGACGTGCCCTGCCACCCATCCGGTCCCAAACTCACCCCAGACAAGTTCCGCTCGGGCTCTGGATTCGTCCGTTTTCTGAGTTTCTTCGGGACCTGCGGCTTCTTAGAGATCCGAGGCTTCTTTAGGATGTGAGTGTTCTTTGGCTTCTGGGGGCGGAGCTCTTGATTCCTCTTCTTGTTACGAGGAGGCCCTGGACAGGCTCGGTCTGTGGTCGGAGCGGTGTCTTCCTCCCAATATCGCCGCGGTTTCTATGGGAAGACCAGGCACTCTGATACTCCTGCCCACGCTCCGCCCCCCGAACCTGCAGCTAAAAACTTCCTTTCCCTAGGACATGGACATCTTAGGGGATCAAAAATATAAAAAACAAAACAAAAAAAAACTTCCTTTCCCACCCAGGAAGGCCTCTACCTTCCTCTTGGCCTGACGTTTGTCCTTCTTGGGTGGGACATCCTTGCCAGGCTTGGGGGCTCTCTCCATCTCCTCCTCCCGAACCTCAATCCACGTGCAAAACTCCTCTCAGCTGTCCCACAGCGGGCTTGGAAACTCCCGGAAGTCCTCTGATCCTCATCCAATCAGCACTGTACCAGGTCTGAAGCCTTCTAAGCGCCATCTTGAGTGAGGGCACGCTTTCCTTTGAGGGGCGGGGCAGGCTTGGCACCGCCCCCGGGACCGGCCTTTTATGCCCGAGTGATGGGAAAAAGGCAGGCCTGGGGCCAGGGCCCAAGTAACGGTGTGGTTTCTTTTTCCGGATTAGCTTCCCTATCTCGCCTAAACACTTTTTAGCAGAACGCCACTCATTAAACGTGTGCTAATTGCATTCCCGGCATGTGTCAGAAGGAAGCTTCCGGCCGTTTTTCCCAGCATTCCTTGTTTACTTCCGGGTTTGTTAATACTGAGGGGAGAACGTGGGTAGGTTAGGGTTTCGGTTGAGAGGGTTGGGGTCTCGAGTTTCGCCAGGATAGAGTCGATATCCAGGATAGGGAGAGGTTGCGGTGCCCTCAATAGTGCTGTCATTTCTGCAGGCCAGGCCAGAAAGGGGAGCTCAGGGACCTTCCAGAGAGTGAGACCTGGCGCCCCTCTCCCGCTCCCCACAGCCTTTTATCCCCGCCATGGCAGAGCTGATCCAGAAGAAGCTGCAGGGAGAAGTGGAGAAATATCAACAGCTACAAAAGGGTAAGGAAGCAGGGTCGGTGTGACCTCGCCTCAATCCACTCACAACCCAGAATCATACCAGGATAAGGTTTGCTGCCCCCATCCTTGTCTACTTTCTCAGATCCATTTTCTCCTAACTGGGGTTGCGGGGTGTCGGTGGCATATTTGATGTTTCTAATCTTGTCTTTCCTCCTACTCCCAGACTTGAGTAAATCCATGTCAGGGAGGCAGAAGCTTGAGGCACAACTAACGGAAAATAATATCGTGAAGGAGGTGAGGGACTGGGATGTGTGGGGCGAGGAGGGACCTGTACTGGCCTTGGTTCTGATGATATACGTCCTACCCCTCCATCAGGAACTGGCCCTGCTGGATGGGTCCAACGTGGTCTTTAAACTTCTGGGTCCTGTGCTGGTCAGACAGGAGCTGGGGGAGGCTCGGGCCACAGTGGGGAAGAGGCTGGAGTATATCACAGCTGAAATGTGAGTCTCTGTTCTGCCACCCTGTGCTGCACCTGACACCACTGGAGTACAGGTGTTGAGGAACGATTGCAGAGTAGCTCTCCACAGTTAGTCCCCAGTTGTCCAGTTCCTCCAACCCCTTCCTTCCCTTGTAATTCCCCTTCTCTTCCCTCCCCTAGATCTCAAGTTTTCTACCAATCTCTTTCTTGCCTTCAGCACCGTCAATAATAACTCCCATTAATTTCTCCTTTTCTGATTCTTTGTCTCCCTTATTTCTCCTCAGTAAGAGATATGAATCCCAGCTCCGGGACCTTGAGCAGCAGTCAGAGCAACAGAGGGAAACCCTTGCTCAGCTGCAGCAGGAATTCCAGCGGGCCCAGGCGGCAAAGGCAGGGGTTCCTGGGAAGGCCTGACCCCATGGTGGGGGAGTGGAGGGAAAGAGGCAGCTCTGGGATCTATACTGTAGCTAATAAAATGTAAACATACCTGGCTTTGTTTTCTGACCAGTCACTTCTGTCATAATTGTCTCCCCATCTCCCCAGCCCCTTTCACCTTATACAATTCCACCTGTGTCACTCCCCTCAGGTCCAGACTCTTGCAGCTAGAATCTCTTTGTGGCAGGGTAATCTTTTTCTTTCTTTCTTTTTTTTTTTTTGAGACAGAGTCTCACTTTGTTGCCCAGGCTAGAGTGAGTGCCGTGGCGTCAGCCTAGCTCACAGCAACCTCACACTCCTGGGCTCAAGGGATCCTACTGCCTCAGCCTCCCGAGTAGCTGGGACTACAGGCATGCGCCACCATGCCTGGCTAATTTTTTCTATATATGTTAGTTGTCCAATTAATTTCTTTCTATTTATAGTAGAGACAGGGTCTCACTCTTGCTCAGGCTGGTTTCAAACTCCTGACCTTGAGCAATCCGCCCGCCTCGGCCTCCCAGAGTGCTAGGATTACAGGCGTTGAGCCACTGCTCCCGGCCTTCTTTTTCTTTCTTGAAATTAAAATCTTAATGTCTCAAACCTGCTTTTTGCCTATACATAGAACCCTTAACTCTCCCTTATCATGATTGGCATGATCCTTTAGGAAACACGAGAAGGGCGTTTACAGCATATTGTTAGGAATGTCAGTTTAATTGAAGAACTCACAATTCTCTAACATGAGACCTCAGGATAAAATATGGTTACCCTTCTTGCTATGAATACTGTCATCTTCCAAATAACCCTAAAATCTTTCAGTTCTTTTCAGCCTCTGACTTGTTAGAATTTGTTTGAATGCAGCTTAAACTGTTTTAAAATTCCAGCACGTAATGCTCTATGGTGTCAGTAAGTCTTCCAACACCACCAAGTACATGTTGTCCACAAGGTGGTTTTTCCATTTATTTGTCCTAATATTGCTTCCTAAAAATTTGCAGCCAGGGGAGTCCTTCATACTAATCACTTTAATTTGGTGGCTACTTCTTGACATGGGTCTGTGACAACTGAGGAGGAAAGTTTAACAGTAAATGAAGACTAGGGGTGGAGAGGTTACTGGAGAGGAATAAACTGTTCTGAGGAAGCCGTTTTCACCAATACCTCACTTTCAGCTCTTCATGCCCCTTCCTGTTCCATGGCTTCTACCTTCAGCCAATTCCCCACCCCCACTCCCAGCAGCCAGTTCAATGCACTGCAAGGACAGGGGAGTAGAATTCAGGTAGTGTTTTGGTTTATTATCTTAGTGTTGTCACAGTGATAGAAACACCCAGAGTGGCAAAAGGAACTACTAGAACCTACTTCTTGCCATCCCCCTCTGCCCTGGGGCTCAGAGACTTTAGGCCCTCCTCCCCTCTTCTTCCCACCCTGCAACTTCTAGCCCTTTCTTTGGCCCTTCACTAGGATGTGGCCAGGAATTAGAAACTGATGCCTTTTTCCAGCACTAGCTGTGTGCTGCATTCATGGGAAGGTGGAGCTATACATTGGTATCCAACTTGGTTACAAGATTACCAGTTCCCACAGGGCTGGTTTCTCAGCTGTCTGGTAAACCAATGGCACTTCACTGTCCCAGGGTGGCGGCCACCTTTCTAAATTTCTGTCCCAATGTGACATAACTGCCACCATTCAGGATGGCTACCCCCATCTGGTATGAACACCATGACTTCTGTAAGCCAACAGGGGCTCCTCCTCAGAACAATGCCCGTGCAATCTTCCTCCCTGTGGCCTTGATCCTGGGAAAGGAGCCCCCTCCCCCCTCACTCGGAGGAGTTCCTGAGGCAGAGGGGCCACTGGTGAGGCCTGGTGTAGCAACAGAGGGCCTTCGCCGCTGCCGCAGGAGGAAATCATGTGAGGCTCCATCCATAGCATAGAAGACATTGGCTGAGGGTGGGATAGTCAGCTCTGTAGGTTCAGAGGGTAAATATCAGTCACAAACGATCATTCCCCCCACAATTGCCCAGAAGTGGAAGCACTCCACTTTCTTCCTGAGTCTGCTTTTCCCTCATGGCCACTGACCTCGTTCCCCTGGTAGTAGTTGTACCAGCTCATACTCTGAAGCCACTGCAGAGTCACGATTGTTTTTCTTAAGGACACGACTGATGACACTTGGAGCTTTGTCCTGGCTTGTCACCTGGCAAGACAGGAGACCAAAAGAGCAATAAAATCAGCCATATAATGACCTCTGCTTCCCATCCTTCCAACCTTAGCCACTGACCTAACCTAAAAAGGTCACCTGTGTCCAAGGCTTTAGAATGAACAGGGAAAAGTAATATGGTGGGTCCCTGTACCTCATAAGCCAGCCCACATGGTGCCCAGTGAAATACTGCTGCTTCCTGTGGGGGGAATCTGCTTTTAGTTCTGAAAATCTAATATGGCCACCAAAAGTTTAAGGTACAGCAGCTAATGCAAAGTGGCCATCAAAAGAAAACATAACTGCCAAAACCAAAGGTCAAAATTAAAACTAGAATCAACTCCACTTGGCTGCCCAAAACTAAGACAACAATTATGGTCCAACAAAGTACTATCCTTCACCCTCACCGCCAGCCCAAGGCTCCCTCACCAAGATGCTCTTATAGACACTGCCATCTTCCCCCAGCTCCATCTGGACTCGGATGATTCGGCAATCAGAGGCCCCTGGCCCAGATCCCCCTCCCCCATATCCAGCCCCCCTGGAGGCCCCTTCTCCTGAAGCCCCACTCAGTGGGGAGCCACAGGAAGCTGATCTGCGGTGACCTCGAGAAGGCCTAGGGGAGGAGGCTGGGGGAGAGAGGTGGCTGGGGTCGGCTGCACTGCGCGGGGACGGACTGCTTTCCAGGGCACAGTCTAGCGACGAGACAGACGGCCACTTCATGTGCTAGAACAAACAACACGGGACTGGCATGAAGGCGGGGAGATTAAAAAAGAAACATTCACAGAGTTAGGGTCAGTGTCAAGGTCAGAGGTCAGGAGCAGAGCTCACCTGAGCCAGGCGGGTCAGCAGAGGAGCAGGCGTTCCAGACATCTCATCTCCCCCCATACTGGGCCTGTCCCAGGTCACCAAGGGGGTGGGACCCCCAACAGAGCCCAGAACCCTGGATGGCAGGAGAATGGGAAGGTCAGAAGGAGAGTGGCAAGTTCCCTAGAAACCACCCCAACTGCTGAATCTCTCACTCTGTCCACTGTGAGATGACCAGCGTTGGCCGAAGGACCCTTGGGGCAGGAGGGTCACTGGTACCAGGTGGCTCCACTTCACAGGACACACGGTGGCTGGGGTGGGAGCAATAGGCAGAGGTCAGGACATGACACCAACCCCCCACACCCAGCCAGAGTCCCAACCTCACCCAGCCAGTCACCTCTGGGCCTCTGTCAGTGGCTGAAGCCCCTGTAGCCACTGTTGGATATCATGGTCTGGGCGGAGGTCATAGCCGCGACATTCATTCTGGAGCCGTTGCAACTCAGAAAGGACAGCAAACTCCTAGGAAGGAGCCCTCAAATTGCAGGAGCAAAAAACTCGGGGACTCCTGACTTTCCCTTCCCCCTCCTCCTGGGACATGGATAGGGATGTCTAGCATCCAGCCCACGCATTCCTCTCACCTTCCTCCGCTTGTCGAAATTGATGTATCCATTCTGCAAGGAAAACAGGGATGGGGTCAAAGTCCTAGCCCTGCCTTCCAGGCCACAGAGAGAATATGTCCTCTCCTAAACACACACACATCCACAACCAAATCACAAACACTTCCCTCTGGCCTCTCACTCCCCATCCCTCCCACCCTCCCCCTCAGTCTATCACACCCTGAGCCTGCACTGGACCCTTTAAATAGAGCATCTCAGGTAGAAAACGTGTCTACTTTTCTGATGAGAAAACTGAGGTGCAGCGAGGATAGGAGTTTGCCCAAGGTCTCAGCATTTATTTATTTAACAAACTATATTCTATATATGCTTACATTTCAGGCATGTTGTAAGTGCCTGACAAATACAAATTCATTTAACTCTCACAATAACAGACTGATATAGATACTATGGCTAACTTCCCATTTATAGATCACCAAGGCACAGGCTACGCCACTTGCCACAGTAACAGATCTGGCTCCAGAGTCCCACTCTCAGCCATTTACACCTTACGGCCCCTTTTTGGAAGGAAGTCTGTCTGCCCCTGCAGCCCACCTGTCCCATCCTTGCAATGGACACACACACACACCCCACTGACCTCCAGCTCATCCTTGGAGGCTGCATCCAGCATCACCAGGTCCTTCAGGAAGGTGCCGAGGTATGGGACCACACCCTGAGGTCAGGGGTCGGGGTCAGACGCCCCTGCCACTGATGTGAGGGCCCTCCATCCCTCCGCACTTTCCCTCCACCTCCCTCAGAGGATAGACTTCATTCTGCTCACCCTGTGCCTCCCGTTCGCAGCCCTCAGACTGCTCGTCACAAACACACTCCTCCTTCATGTCCCCCCGCCCCCGCTAGTCACTCACCCCACCCCGGGAGCCAGACCTCGGGGCCTTCTTGGAGTGTGGCTCCACGGGGGGCTGCAGCTTCACCTCCTGATGGTGACAAAACAAGATCCAGAGTAGGAGCAGGGAGCAGAGATGGTTGGGAAAGCCAGAGAACAGGGCCTCACCTGCAGGAGTAGCTCTCGGCTCTGGGAATAATTATCCTCCTCAGAGAAAATCTGGCAGAGGCTGGAAAAGACTCTGAGGCTGTCCCTGGGTGAGGGAGAAGAGTTACCCTGAGGACAGGCTTGGCTCGGCCATGCCCTCTTCCCAGCCCTCTGAGGAACCCCCACCCCTAGCCCAGTGCCCCATCCTTCCCACCTGGTGGCTTCCCCCCAGGCTGCCCGAAGCCTGTGGATGGGGCTGGACTGCAGGGCCGACACAACAGCATAAACCGAAGAGAAGTTTCGGAGCAGCCGGCACTCCTACGGGGTCAAAGTGGAAAGCTAAGGTTGTGGGAGTCCTCTCCACACCACAGTCCCCGCAGGGCTACCCTCTCTAACCTCTGCCACTCGGATCCACTTCTCCAGGAGCCGGGCCCTCTGGGGGGGACAGAGTGGCCGTATGGTCACCTCCCCAGGCCCCTCTCCAGTTGGGGTGGCCCCCAGGACGGAGCTAACCACTGCCCCTGCCACCTTGTTGAACTGTGTGACAGTAGCTCGGACAGATGGGCAGAGGTGGGAATGTCCCGGCCGATCTCTGTGACCCCATAGGCCCCCCAGGCACTGAGAGGGGACCAGATTGAGAAACAGTTCCTGCAAGGCAAAGGTCAGAGGTTAAAGTTCATAGTCAAGTGAGGTGAGCCTTTCAATATCAGGGATCAGAGGGTTTCAGGTGGCCAAGGAACCAGGGGGCACAGGGTTTGAAGGGTAACAACCAAGGGTGAAAGGGAAAAGGTCCAAACAGTAGATGGAAGGGGCTGGGAACTGGATGAGGAAGGGCTGGAAGCAAGGGAAGGATCTGGAGTCAAGGAAGGGTTAGTAAGGGGTTAAGGGGCACAGGGGTCAGAGGTCAGGGTCTCACCGAATCTAGCAGGGTCAGCTGTTCGGCCAAGTGGTCGGCGAGGAACACCAGGACATCCGTGGGGTCAGCAGGGGGATCGCCCGGGAGGGCCAGGGGCTTAGGAAGGTCAGGGGCCTGGGGGTCCACCCGGGACCGGAGATTGCAGATGAGGTCAGCGCTGCCCCCCCCAACACCCTCCCCTGCTGCATACCCTGTCTGAAGTAAGAAGCTCTCAAGCCGGTCAAGCTGAACCTTGACCTCAGAGCCAAAATCCTCAGGGTGAGAAGCCAGCCAGGTTGACAGTACAGAGATGGCTACCCTGAGAGAGGGGCAATCAGCCAAGGGTCAGAGGAAAGCTGCAGCGTGGGCAGAGGGGACTGGGAGACTGAGACAGGGCTCACTCACCCTGTTGTCCTCTCTCGTTCATCAGCAGGGTGAGATTCAAGGGCTTCCAGCCTGGGAAGGAGAAGAGAATCTGTCTATTTTCCCCAAACCCCCAGTGGCTTTGACTGTTTTGGTAGGGTGTGGGGCTTTAGGAAGTCCAAACACCTCCATGACCCTTGGTCCCTTATGACCCTGACCTGTCAGCCATAAGCCCTAGCAGGGCAGGTGTGGAGGTGAAGGCCCGGTGGGTGGCCAGGAAGGCTGCCGAGAAGGTCACGTCAGCCCCTGATGTCCGGGCATCCAGAAGGTGTCTAACCAGGGCCTCCAGAGTGCCAGCCCGAAGCCGTCGGGAGGAACGCGGAGGAGGCGTGGGAGCCTGGAGGACACAGAGGGATGGTCACTGACCCTTTCTTCAACTCTGCCCCTAGATTTCTAGGGACGGTCCTAGCCCTAGGAGATGAGCCAGGCTCATTTTGCTGAGATTCAGAGAGGGCAAAAGACTTGGCCTACATCATACAGCAGAGTCCAGGACTCCAGACCTCCAACCCAGCACCCTGGCCAGAAAGTCAGCCAGAGGAAGGGGAACCAGGAGATGACTGATCAGAGGTGAGAAGCCAAAGTCATGATCTCACCAAGGGATCAAGAGGCCGATATTGGCGGCTTGTGACAGTAAAGGTGGCACCATCCTCTTCCTCATCCCAGACAGACACAGGGGCCTGGAGGAGCAAGGAAGGGGAAGTCAGACAGTTCCATACCCCCCCACTGCCCTCAGCCCTCGCTCACCCCAGGCCCTGCTCCTCCCTCTGTACCCCTCACCTGTGATGGCGGGGGGCAATACCAGCGAGTTCGAGGGGTGGGGGGGGCTGGTGACCCCAGGTCTCCCCCACTGGGGCCCAGACAGCCCCCCCCTAGCCGCCGCAGGGCCCGGTGGAGTCGAGGGGGTTGCAGTGAGGGGGTGGATGGAGTGCAGGAACCCTGATCCTGGAGACCCCCGAAGCCCCTTCTCCCCAGAGCTGACCCCAACACAACAGAGATGCAGGGTACAAAGGGTAGGAGAGGGAAGCGCGAGGCAGAGAGCCAGAGGTAGCGACCTCAGAAGCTGAAACCCCAGTCACAGGCACAGCCACATGCCCCGCCCTCCCCCGCAAGGACTCAGCAAGCCCAAAGAATTAGTCCTTCCCTCAGGCCCCCTTCCATCCTAGTTCCTGGGGTAGGGCCTCTACTATCCCAGCTGTGGGGACCCTGTGAAGGTGGCAGCTCCAATCCCAGTACAGGAAGGGGAAGTGGGGATGGGGGGGGGGTAGGCTCAGAGAGTCACGTGGCCCCAGCCCCTCCCCTGACCGATCCCGAAAAACCAGCCCTGCTAGTCACCCTGCCCTCACCCAGTGTCTGGACCCAGGAGTCCAGGACTTCCAGGCCCCAAATCCAACTTCTGGCCCCTCCTGAAGCCCCAAGTCCTGCTCCTGGCCACCACCATTAGCCCTAAGGAAAGCAGGTGACCACTCTATCCAGCCTAGGACCATCCTTCCTAGTCCCAGAACCCTGGCTTCTTGGCTTCTACCCAGCACCAAGGGGGGGGTGTCACAAAATCTGAGGGTTCCCTCCCCAATCCCAGAGTCAGAGGAGCTGGTTACTGTGGAAACAAACCCCTCCCTGCCAAACAAAAACAAGGAGGGAGACAGGGACCAGGTCAAAACTGCTGGGAGAGGCAGGCACATTTAAGCAGACATAGGCAGAGAGGGCCAGAGACCCGCAGGGACAGCCGGCCAGAATTTCAAGGCAGAAACAGGGCAGGTTCCTGAGGGCCAGTCCGGAGTCACACTGACACAGAGGACCACAGAGAAGCCAGGGCTCCCCGCAGCAGGGAGACAGGCAGACACCGGACAGAGGTGCAGGAGGAAATGGGGCAGGAAGAGATGTAGGGACCCAGAGACAAGAGAAAGATGGAGATCTCCGAAATATATGCACCCTTTACCTCCCACCACCCACGTCTCACCTCTTCTTCCTCCTCCTCCTCTTTCTCCTGCCCCCCGCCCACGACCCGGCCATCTGGGCCCCCACCCTCTTCAGGGTCTCGGCTTCGGAAGCTGCTCAGCACGACTCCCCCGGGGGGGCTCGTGTCCAAAAGCAGCCGCAGGGGCCGCGGGAGCATGGCCGAGTGAAGCAATCAGCGGGGTCGGGCCATGGGGGCGCCTGGGGAGAGATCGGGTGGGGGTGGAGAGTCAGGCGGGCGCGGGGGAGCGGGGCAGGGAAGGGACACATGTAGGTGTCCAGATAGCTGGATCGGACTTCTGCGGGAAGGCCGGGGTAGGGGGCAACACAGGGGTGTAATATAGGGACCCTTGGTGCATTTTGGGGATTAGGGGGTTACGAGTACGGAAAAGGGCAGGGTCACAAGGTGCTCAGGCTCTGACCTGCTCGGGAGGGGTGGGGACAGCGTTGGTCCCGGGCCGCTGTTCCCGTCGGTCTCCAGTCCCCGACCGAGTCCCCGGATCGTGTCCCCTCCCGGGCTTTTCCGCACCCCCCTGTATCCCCTCCGGCGGGGCTCCTGGGCCCTCCCGCCCTTTCCGCTCCCCCCCGCGTCCGCCCGATCCGAAAGCAGGAGCCAAAAGGGGAAGGAAGTGAGGACAGGAGCCAGGGCTGCGAGCTAGGGGAGCGCTGGACGCCCAGGGGCCGGAGCCCAGGAGGCCGGGTCCCCAGCTCCACTGTCCTCCGCCGCCACCCCCGGGATTCTGGAGCCCGCGTCGCCCTGCACTGAATTGGGACAGATTCCAGTCACCTGCCCCCGGGAGAGGGCAGGAGCAGAATTTGACATGCCCCTCCCCAACAAGAGCAAGGCTAAAACGCCTGCGGGTAGGGTTTTAGGTGGGGAGAAAGCCCGCCACTCCAACTCACGGGGTTACACTCCCCACCCCAGCCCACGAACCGAAATCCAGTCCGTGTTTTCCGAAGAGCACTCGGTTCCCTCCCTCGTGCAAGGGGGCGGAGCAGGAAGCCCCTACATCCGGTTCCAGATTCGGCGCTCGCGGTTTCCGGCGCCGAGGCCGGACCTCCGCGGCCTTATCTTGCTGGTCTGTCCGGGTAGAGCCCGCGGCTTTGGGACGCTTTATGCGCCATTCGTGGCGCCCGACCCTAAACGGTTTCAACCGGGAGTCAGATGTCTCCGAGGCCTTCGGGAGGTCGGGGGCATTGGAAGGGACCAGAGGTGGCGGGAGATCACTGTGCTTGGAAAGGGGCAGAACGAGACGCGGTTGGAGCACTGGAACACAGCTTTATTCCCCCTTCGGCCCTTCCCGCGTCCGTCTGGGCGACCGTCCTGACCCCAAGCCGCGCCGCCGCTGCCTGCGTCCGACGTCCGGCAGCTATTTGCTTAGCGCCCCCAGCGGGCAGGCTCGCCCGGGTCCTCCAGGCGCCCGCAGGCCCGGGGGCAGACAGGCATTTAACGACGACTCACACAATCACTTAAATACAACTGTGGAGAACCGCGCAAGAGGGACCCGCGGCAGTCTGAAGGGAGTGACAAGGCGGATCTGGTCTGGGACCCAGGGAGGGCAAGGATGGACCAGGCAGAGGGAAAAGAGCGCTGCGACCCAGAGGCAGGCGGGAGGCGTTTGCTTCACTGGAGGAAAGGAGTAGCCATCCGTGTAATGAGCCTGGAGAGGAGGGCTGGGATAGGGGTAGGGTAACCATGTAGGGCTGCAGAGGTAGGCAGTGGCTCACACTGGGGGACACAGAGGCTGGGGCAAGAAGAATGGCTTTGGCCCTAAAGCACCAGTTCCCTGAATGTAGTCTGTTTCAGAGTTCCCTGAGACTATTAATATTTCAGAGGGTATGTGAAATTAAGACTATTTTGATATCCAAATTGAGGTGTTATTTGCCTTTTTCATTATTCTCTAAGAGTGTACACAGTTCATCCTTCCAGAAGCTACATGATATGTATTGACACATAGTTGTCACAACAAATGGAATGTTTGCTTGTGTATTCTTTGTTTCATTTTTTTCTCAGTTTTGAGTTCTAGTATGATAAATATCAATAGTTATAACCCACATAAACAAAAGCTCTTTAGAGTTCTTGATAATTTTTAAGAGGTCCCGAGACCCAAAATTTTTGAGAACCACTGCCCTAGAGCTAGAAGGCGAATGCCATAAGATTTGTTTCTCTTTTAAAAAAAGCCACTCAGTGGAGGGAGTAGGAGCAAATGATGGCGTTATAGTTTTGGGAGCTACTGCAGTAGCTGGAGCCAGAGATGACAGTGGCTTCCACAGGATGGTGCTGAGTGCCTTCACTGTGCTTTCTGGAAGAGAAGGAGGTGAGGAATTCAGGGGTTAGAAGGCAGGTGAGCTTCCTTCCAGAGACATATTAACAGGGGCATAGAGAGTGGGAGAAGGATGGGGCTAACATTTTCTGCGTTTTCTACCTGCCAGACACCGCTGAATGCTTTATCACCTGCATCTTCTAAAAGAGATGCACTATCTTCTTTAATCTTCCTAACAGTCCTTTGAGGCTCCACTGTCCAACATGGTAGCCACCACCCACACGTGGCTACTGAGCATTTGAAATGTGGCTAGTCTGAACTAAGATGTGCTGACAGTTTAAACATCTGCTTTTGAAGCCTTAGAATGGAAAAAGAGCTATAATTTCTTATATTGTTTACATGCTGAAATGATAATATTTTGGATATACAGGTTGAGCATCCTTGATCCAAAAATCCAAAATCTGAAATGCTCCAAAATCCAAAACTTTGAGTGCCATCTGATGCCGCAAGTAAAAAATTCCACACCTGACCTCATGTGAAAGTATATATTAAATTAATTTTACCTGTTTATTTTTAATGGATTGCTAATTTAAATTTACATAAGTGGCTTGTATTATATTTCTGTTGGACAGCACTGCCTAAGTAATTTTTTAAAATCCCTACATCCAAGGAAACTGAGGTGTAAATTAAGTAGCATGTTTAAGGGGTCCTATAGTTAGGATGTAGCAGTAGGATTTGACCCAGGTCTGTGTGAGCCCCACCACACCAGCAGCCTCCCTCCATGGTGATGAAGTGGGGAGAGTGAGTAAAATGAGAAAGGAAAAATAAAGGGAAGTGAGTGCTGTTACCTTCTCCTTTGAATCCTTGTAAGTGGACAGGTAGGCAGCTGTGGGGAAAGATTGAGAAGGGATGGGATGCGGGAATGGGGAATGGTAGAGGGGGAGACAGAGGGATGGGTGTCAGGCTTCTGGGAGTAGGCAGGGAATGTCCACAAGTCATGGTCAGGGTGGGGCTCACACTCACCGACCCAGCCCAGCATCTTGATGAGTCCAAGCAGGAGAAAGGAGGACAGGAAAAGGCCTACGCCATCCTCAAGGGAGGGCCTGGAGAGGCCTGGCAGGTGGAAGGGGCAAGAGTGAGCTCCATGTCTTCCCGGGCACCAGCTCAGGGTACAGGGCACTCCCAGCTCTTACCTGCCACCTCCAGGGTGACCTCGGCTCTGCGGCCCAAGGCAGGCAGGCTGGGATGGTGTACTAGACAGGCGTAGTGTGCCCCATGCTGGTCAACGGTGACTGGGGGTGGCCGCAAGTGCCCCGAAAGGCTGACAGAGCCGTCGGAATGGTGGCTCAGGGCAGAGAGCCAACTCTGTCCCCCAGCCTTCCGAGAGCCACCCTCTGGGCCGCCCCGGAGCTCCCACTCCACCTCCAGGCCGTCGGAAGGGTAGAAGCGGGACACACGGCAAAGCAACTCCGGGGGAGCCTCCCCTGGGGCAGCCCACACAAGGGGTGCTGGCATCAAGGACACTTTGGGGGGCTCTGGGGAAAAGTAGGAAGTGAGAATGGAGAAATCAATCTGCACCATCTTTCCTCAGAGACCCTCAGTCTATCCTATGTTTTCCCTAAAACTGATTGGGGTTTGGGTTTATTCTCCTGGGATGGGGAACCCACTGTCTCTACATTGGTGCTTCATAGTAATCCCCATGGCAAAGCCCTCTAGGTTTCCAGGGACCCTCCTCCGTCCCGTTGCCCTTCTGACTCCCAGGGATCCCCATCTCCACTCACCCAGGCACCCTCTTCTCCAACATCCCTTCCCCATCATGGTGTCCCCCTAATCCAACGCCTACCCTCTGCCCATGGAAACCTCTGTCCTCCCACTCACTGTACACAGCAAGCTCCAGGGTGACCTGTCCTTGCAGGTATGGCAGGTGTACGGTGGCCAGATAGGTGCCCTCCTGGAAGGGCTGTACTGCAGGCAGCCAGAAGGTCCCATTCCCGGTCCATGGGCCCCATGGCTCATCATCATTCCAAGTTGCAAATGCCACTGCACCTTCTCGGGCTACTGGTATCTGCTCATCCAGTCCTGGAGTTGCAGCCAGGAGCAGATGCCCCTTACCCAGGTGCTGGCGTCGCCACTCCAGCCCAAAGGGAGGGGGACCTGAGGCCAGAGATGAGGCAGCCTTGGGGCTGGGAGGCATGTAGGCAAAGCTCAGGTCCAGCATAGCATCTTGTCCCAGCCTTACTCGAGGGGCAGGGGTGTGAGTGAGGACAGTCAGCACCACTGGGGAAGAGGGGGATGAGGGAGTGGGAGGGGCATGAGAGAGACAGAGAAAGGAGAAAAAAAGAGAGAAATGGAGTTATAGGGAAGACTGACTCCAATTCACCCACCCGACATAGACACCTTTTCTGATGCTATCTCCCAGCCCTCCCTGCAAATCCCCTTTGCCTGGCACTAGGTGGGACCCAGTGCGGCAGAATGAGCAAGCAGAGAGGTCTAGGGGTGAATCGGGGCAGTGATGGGTATGCCCTTGGAAGCCTAATCTGAACATGCAGCCGACTCTAGCTCTAGCTCTAGCAGGATCTGAGGGTACTTCTAACACAACCTGAACCAGTCTAGTCTCCAAGCACCACCCTTGAAGAACCAGGCCTTGCTTGGTTACTAGTGAAGACTAGTGATTGAGCCATGACTGTCAATCCTATGGTGCTATACAGATTGTTTACTGACCCCAGAAGGTTCCATATCTAGCCTAGATCTGAGCACAGACCTGTGTGCTCTACTAAAGCAGTGCAGTGCAGTGGCCAGGTGCCTGGAGTCTGGCTGCCCTGGTTCAAATCCCAACTCTGCAGCTTACTTATATGGGCTTGGGTCACTTACTTCACTTTTCCATGGCTCAACTTCCAAATCTCTAAAATAGGGATGATGATGATGGTGGTGGTGATGGGGATGATGATAGTACCTACCTCATGAGGTTGTTGAGAGGGTTAAATCATTTAATACCTGTTGCTACCCAAATCTATTCAGTTCCTGATTTTAGATAACAAAGACACCTATATATGCAAGGTATTTGGAACAGGGTCTGGAATATATAGTAAGTCTACAAAAGTGTTTGCTATGGTTACACCTGACCATCTGCCAGACAAACTTTTTTTTTACAGAGTCTGACTTTGTTGACCAGGCTAGATTGAGTGCCATGGCATCAGCCTAGCTCACAGCAACCTCAAACTCCTGGGCTCAAGCGATCCTCCTGCCTCAGCCTCCCGAGTAGCTGGGACTACAGGCATGCACCACCATGCCTGGCTAATTTTTTCTATATATATTAGTTGGCCAATTAATTTCTTTCTATTTATAGTAGAGACAGAGTCTCGCTCTTGCTCAGGCTGGTTTCGAACTCCTAACCTTGAGCAATCCGCCCACCTCGGCCTCCCAGAGTGCTAGGATTACAGGCGTGAGCCACCGTGCCCGGCCCAGACAAACTTAATATAACCCAACTAAACAGCATCTCCGCAACATTCCCTCACCCTGCTCTAATGCCCATTGTCTCTGACTTTGATGAATGGTCACCACCAGCCCCCCAGACACTAAAGGCAAACACTAGGAGTCACTCAGACTCCCCCCTCTCATTCATTTACTCAACAATTACTTATTGAGCACCTAGGATGTTTAAGGTATAGTAGTAGAGAACAGAGTGGTGAACAAGACAGGCAGTTCCTGCCCTCATATTGCTTACAGTCTGGGGAGTGACAAGCAAATCACCAAACATAATGTGCTGCGTGCTATCCCTACTAGGCCCTAATAGATCTCACACCTGTTTCCAACTCAGGTTCTCATCAATGTACATTTGGACAATTACAACCACCTCCCCTCTGGTCTCCCTAGCCTCAGTCTCTCTTTCCTTTAACTCTTCCTTCATATTGTACTCAAACAACATTGCTACAAGTCTGATCAGGTCACTTACCTGTTTAAAACACCCAGTTACCTAGGAAGTCAGCAGCTAAAGGCACAGGTTAGAGCTACATGGCCTGAGTTCAATTTCTAGCCCTGCTTCTTACAAGCTGTGTGTCCTTGGGCAAGTTACCCAACTGTGTCTCAGATTTCTTCACCTGGGAATAATATTAGTACCTGTGTTCTATGTTTGTTGAGAGGAATAAATGAGATTGTGCATACAAAGTGCTTAGAACAGGGCCTGGCATATAGAAAATGCTTGATAAATGTTAGTTGTTATATTTTCATTACCTTCATCATTGTCAAAGATTTGCTGGGCATCTTGGGAAAATCACTTAGCCTGTATTTTATCTCACTAGTCCAGTGATCCTATCCTTGCCTACCTTTTATAAGAATCAAGTAAAATAACAGGCTTTTTAGAATGACCCTCCTCAAGAAAACAAACAAACAAACAAAAAAAACCAAAAGAACTATCCTGATGGTTCATTATCGCCTGTAGAATAAACTCCAGCTTTTAAGATATTTGAAAACTCAGCCCCTAATCCACTTTTCCAAGAGATTTCTCTTGTACCCTATGAACCAGCCACACAGAATCTCTTTTTTGTGCCTAGTAGTAGAAGCTTTAATCATTGGGCATCTCTTCACTTTGGTCATAAGGTTCCTTCAATTTACAACATCTTTCCCATTTTCTTCCAAACATCTAATACTCCATGTTCTTCAAGGTCGGTTCCACTGTTATTTCATCCCAAAAATGTCTGCATCCTCCAGGTAGAAGTAATCTTTTTCTTTCTATAATTATCTTTTTGTTATTTTTAATCTTAGCTTCTGAGGTCTATAAAGTTGAACTTTTCTCAACCTCATGGAATTGTTTTAACTCAGTAGAGTAAAATCAGCATGCAATTTCACTTAGTTTGCAAAACCCAGAAACATACTTTTGAATTGTGAAAAAAAGAATATACAGGATTAATAAACTAAACCTAAAAGATTTATAGTTTAACCCTTAAGATAACAGTGATCTTTATTGGAAGCAATTTTAGACCTGCATCCCATACACTGTACTCTGTAAGAATACAAATATATATAAACAAGGCCAGAAAGCCAGAAAGTAAGGAAAAGTTCTCTTTTTGTAGCTTGTAATAACAAGTTTTTGCTTTTCTGTTAAAGAAAAAAGTGAATGGTAACAACTAATTATAAAGTATTACTGAAAAAAACCTTAAATCCAAATGTAATCAAGCCTTTAGACCTAACTACCAAATTATAGGAAATATGGAGGAAAAAGGAACAAGATAGGCCGGGCGTGGTGGCTCACGCCTGTAATCCTAGCACTTTGGGAGGCCGAGGCGGGTGGATTGCTCAAGGTCAGAAGTTCGAAACCAGCCTGAGCGAGACCCTGTCTCTACCAAAAATAGAAATAAATTAATTGACCAACTAAAAATATATATACAAAAAAAAAATTAAAAAAAAAAGGAACAAGATAAATGACACCATGAAGAAACAATTGGTCAAACATAGTTTGTGGGAAATTCTACAGGGCAAATGACCAGGTTTCTCCAACAAATCAATAGCATTTTTCTTAAAGGGAGGAGATGTCAATTATAGAATAAAAGAGATGCAAGAGACCAAATGATTGTTATGGCCTGAATGTTTGGGTCCCCCAAAATTCATAAGTTGAAGCCCTGACCGCTGTGTATTTAGAGATAAGGACTGTGAGGAGGGGATAAAGGGCAGGGCTCTAATTCAATGCAACTGGTGTCCTTATAAAAAGAGGAAGATGCACCAGTGCTCTTTCTCTCTCTCTTCTATGTGAGGTTGCAGCAAAAAGTTCCCAGTCTGAATTCCAAGTGGAGAGCCCTCCCTCACTGGATATCAAGCCTGCTGGCACCTTGATCTTGGACTTCTAGCACCCAGAACTGTGAGAAAATAAGCTTCTGTTGTTTAAGCCACCCAGCTGATGGTATTTTGTTATGACAGCCAGAGAATATCAATATAACAACCAAATATAAAATATGAATCTGTTTTGCTTTGTGATTTGAGCAAATCAACTGTAATATGACATAATTGAGACAATCAAGAACATTTTAATACAGGCTAGGAATTACATGATATTAAGGAATTATTATTTGTTTTTTTTTGTTTTGTTTTGTTTTTTATACTTGTGTCTGGGAAGAATTATTATTTGTTTTGCTAGGTGTGATGATGGTATTGTGGTTATGGTTTTAAGTCCTTATATATGCTATTTTACTTCATGAGTTAAAGAAAAAATAAAAAAATAAAGTCCTTATTTAATAGAAATGCTTACTGAAGTACTTATGAGTAAAATAATATGGTCCTAGGATATACTTTAAAACACTGCCAAAAATAAAAATAAAAAACAGAGTGGATGTTCCTGAAGCTATTGCAAAAAAAATTTTAAGAAAAATAATTAAGAAAACTAATTTAAAAATAAATAAAAAATAATAAGAAGAAAACAGAGTAGAGGGAGGATAAGTCAAACAATCTGGTAAAATGTAATAACTATATAACTTGGTAACAGGTATGGTGGGTTCATTATAGTATTCTCTCTACTTTTATGTATCTTTGAAATTTTCCACAGTGTTTTAAAAGAATGGTAAGAATTAAATACTATGTATGCAAAGCATAATAAGAAAGTATATTTGCAGCCAGGCCTGGTGGCTCATGCCTGTAATCCTAACACTCTGGGAGGCAGAGGTTTGAAACCAGCCTGAGCAAGAGCGAGACCCTGTCTCTACTATAAATAGAAAGAAATTAATTGGCCAACTAATATATATACAAAAAATAGCTGAGCATGGCGGCGAATGCCTGTAGTCCCAGCTATTCGGGGGCTGAGACAGAAGGATCGCTTGAACCCAGCAGTTCGAGGTTGCTGTGAACTAGGCTGAAGCTAGGGCACTCTAGCCTGGGCAACAGAGTGAGACTCTGTCATTCATTCATTCATTAATAAATAAATAAATAAATAAATAAATAAATAAATAAATAAATAAATAAATAAATAAATAAATAAATAAATAAAAGCTCCCAACAGAATTCATATTCACAACCTGGGCTGAGAACTGCTGAGCCCTAACTTATTCTTGGTGCTAATGAGCATTTACTGAATCAACCAAGAAATTAACACAGTGCCTCTTCTGATAGTCTCAACAACGGAAAGACAGCTGGGAAATAATATCCACATTTTACAGGTGGAAAAACTGACTCTGAGGGCAAAGAACATTGTCACCGCCACCTCAGCGAAGCCAGCAGCAACAGGCAATATTCCTCCCTACTGGAGACAGCTCCTCTCCCGACAGAGAGCAGTCTTCCTCGGCCCCTGCCCAGCGTAGAGCACAGAGGTGCAGGCAGAGGTGAGGGTTTGGGGCGGGTTCGGTTCGGAGTCTGTTTCCTTGGTCCTGTGGGCGATTCTCAGGTACTGAGGAAGGGAGGGTACAGGGTTGGGCTTGACCTGTCCGTGAGGCTGTATTGTTCACAGAAAAGCGTAGGAGACCGAGAAACCGGCATCCTACCCTGCCTCCGCTGCGCGGAGGGAGAGCTCCTGATGTCCCAGTCGGATCCTCTCCATTCTTGCCTTATCCGCCGCTTGCTGCCCGCAACCCAGCCCGGCAAAGTGCCCGAACCCTGGGCCTCAAACTGCGGGGCGCCTCACCGCCGCGGTCCTCCCAGTGGGAGCCACAGCGGCGCCCGCCGGGCGCCCCCGCGCACTGCAGCCCCCGCAGGACCGCCGACAGGCCGCGCGCCCGCCTCGCGCCCCCGCGCACTGCAGCCCCCGCAGGACCGCCGACAGGCCGCGCGCCCGCCTGGGGGCTGTCAGGAACGGTAAGCGCGCTGGGGCCTTTGCTTCGCCGCTGTCACCGCACCGAGTGTGGGCGCGGGTGAGGCTTGGGGGCGGTGTTTGCAGCTGGGCGAACCGCAAAGGAGAGGGCGCGCCGCCAGACACAGATCTGGGAGGACTCCTCCCATCCCCCTGCCCCAACAAGTTTCTCCAGGTCAGCGTCTGGGAACCCCGCCTCTCCAAAGCCCCGCCCCAAACCACGGGGTGGTTTTTGTTCGTTTGTTTGTTTCTTTAACTGGGGGAGGGCTAGAAGCAGCCGAGGAGCTAATTCTAGCCAAAACGCCACGGTTTACAAGAAAGGAAACTGAAAGCCGTTGGGGAAATGCCTCGCTCTAGTCCACACGGCGCGCCACCGGCTGATGCGGACCCTTAGAGCCTACCTCTCCATTTCCACCTCCCCTTCCCAGCTACCTGTTGCCTCGGTGATGGGAACAGGCTCCTGCCGATGCTCTGGCTGTGGTCGCAAGAGGCTGGAGAGGCTGAGAACAGAGCTGGACATGCTGACCATCAGCCAAGCCCCGTCCAGGGCCCGCGGGCAGCTCTGCTCCGGGGTCAGGCCGCTGGCCCAGTTCGCAGAGGCGGGGAGCGGGACGAAACGGCTCAGCTCGCAGTGCGGCGCGGGGGCGCCCCGGGGGTACCGCCTGAGGGCATCCTGGAGGGCGCCAGCAGGGTCTGTGAGTGCGGAGAAGGGAGTGGCAGCGAAAGAGTCGTGGCCGGGAAGGGGGCTAGAAGGGCAGTGTTTGGGGAAATTCAAATGCACAGATTTTCTCATACTGGGGGATTTACAGGTAGTCCAGACTCATTTTACAGAGGGGAAAACTGAGGCTTCAGGTCACTGCCCGATCTAAAGAGGAAGGCGTTTCCGTGGAGGCGACAGGTGTGGGGGCAGGTCCAGAAGACTCACCGTGCACACGGAGGTAGAGCTTAGGGTCGAGGTCCAGCCGGGGCGGCGGTCCCCCGGGTCCCTGGCGCAGCAGCAGTGCAGCAGGTCTCTTGGCCAGGTTGCTTCCGCTGGCATCCTCCACAAACCAGCACTCGATCACCGCGGGGCCCGCGGACACGGCGGCGACCAGGTCTGGGGGAGAGGAGCTCGAGTGAGGGGCGCCGGGACGTCGGGTGACATGCCCCTTTCATCCTGGCATCGGGCGCCCCGCGGGGCCACCTCCCTCTGCTTCCGCGACCCTCCCGTTCCTGGGCGAGGAGTCGCGGGGTTCGCTCACCCAAAGCCACGGTGAGGAGCAGAGACAGGGGCTTCATGGCGCTGCGATCTCCTCAGCCCGGAAGCCGCCTCTTCCCGCCTTTCACTTTCACTTTCCTCCGAAGGCCAGCGGGAGGGGCGGGGGAAATCCCCGTTCTGGCTAGGTATGGGTGCCAGGGAGGTGGGTGCGTTCCCGCCGGCCAGGACAGGATCCGGGAACATCCTCTCCAGTTCTCGTCCGGACACCCCAGCCCTGCCGTGGCCTCCAGGGCCACCCAGCCGTGCCGAGCTTGAGCCCTCCCCAACCTAGGCTTCCCGTCCCGTACCCCCTCCAGCGTCCACTTCCCCTAGAACCATTACTCCGGCTTCCCTCCACCTGCGCCGGGTCCCCAGCAAACACATAGGGGTTGTCAGGAAGCCAAGTGAAATGACCAATAAATATTTTAATCACTGTTAAAAAAAATAAAATAAAAGCCTCGTACTCCTACGACTTACTCCCTCCTTATTTCCAGCCCCTCCCCCATGAAAACCGAGTTGGGGATCCCCAAGGGAGGTGAGGGGCAGGAGAAATAGGGTAGAAATAAAGAGCGCATACTTCCAGAGGGGTAAGTTCTAAGACAAGGGTAGGGCTCAAAGGCCTGATCCCCACAACACAAACACAGACTTCAGGCACGGACTACAATCACCTGACCCTTGACCCTGTGACTCCAGGATGCTCCACAGCCTCATCTCCCTCCCCCTCCATGTGCACCCCACTCTGTGGAGCTGGGGCTTCGGTGCTCTCGACAGAGATGGACGGGCTTAGTTCCATGGATACCTTAGGAGACAAGGACTGACGAGCAGAGTGGGCTGGCGATGGTACAATGTGGTTCCCCCTCCAGAATATATACAAGTCCACAGAGATAAAGGAAAACAGTGGTGCGCTGAAAGAGCAGCTCCGGGCCACAGCGCCCCCTGGATCGTGCTCCCTATTCCCTCTACCCCGAAAGCTACCCGCAGTAGCCGGACCCTTCAATTTGCTCCTCCGCCCCCATTGAAGCCCATCTCCACCTTGGGGACGCTGGGTGGGGACCAGACACGTCTGCTGGACTGGGGCGTGGCCCCACTGGCCTCGTCGCTGCTGCCCCCGCCCGCTCTGGGCGACTCTCTCTTGAGCGGCAAGACCGGCCCCGTGGGCGTCCCAGGTCCAGGTCCGGCCCCGCCCCCACCCAGGCGGTGGCGGCGCTCACAGTGTCCCCGGTGGCGCATGAAGCTGTCTCGCCACATGAACTTCTTGGCGCAGACGCCGCACTCGTAGGGCTTGAGTCCTGTGTGCGTCTTCATGTGCTCAGTCAGATGGTGCTTCATCTTGAACTTTTTGTTGCACACAGGGCAGTCAAAGGGCCGCAAATTGAGGTGCATGTTCACGTGCCGGTCCCGCATGCTCTTGTGGGAGAAGGCCTTCCCGCAGTGGCACAGAAAGATCTTATTTCCGTCCCCACTGCTGGTCCCTCCAGGGGCCCCACCAGCACCACCTGGCATGCCCAGGCCCCCCACTGACGTGCCCCCCAGGGTCACTGCCCCGTGTTCAGCTTGGTTCCCTGGGGGCTGGCCTGGAGCCTGTGAGGAGGAGGAGGAGGAGGATGAAGACGATGGAAAGACCAGGATCTGGTTGCCCTGCATGTCCAAAGGAAGGAGGGGTCGGGGAGGCTGGGAGGGAGCATAGGAGGGAGTGGGCCCCCCTGAATCATCAAGCCCTGCCACAGGACCCCCACTCTCATAGGGGCCAAAATCATTGGAGGACTCACAGAAGTTGACCTGCTCCTCCCCCTTGCCTGAAGGCTCACTCAGGGTTCTAACATCGCTTATGCTGAGGGTAGCTTCAGGCCCTCCCCCTGCTGGAACCCTGGAACCACTCCCCAGCTCTTCCTCTTCATCATCCTCACAGGTCAACACCAGGTCTTCCTCCTCCTCTTCCTCCTCCAGATCGGGGTCTTGGGGAACCAGGGGTGGTGGTGCTGGGCAGTTCCCACCTCGCTTCCCGTATATCCAATGTTTCTGTGGCATGATGCTGGGGGGCGTGTAGGTGGGCCTCCGGAGCCCAGCCCCAGGAACCACCACCCCTCTCCCCTCCCCATCATCACACAGCTCATCTGCCTCCAGCAGCACCTTCCCAGAGGTGGCCCCCCCACTGCCAATGACAGGGCCTGGAAATACAGGACCACCTCCTCGACGCTCCCCACTGCCCGTTGCAGAAGCTGCAAATGCTTCTTGGGAGGAAGATGAGAAATCAGTGGACTCCCGGGGGCTGAAGTAGTTGCTGCTGCTGGGAGACTGATTCTCACTGGCCCGGCTAGAGGCATGGGAACGCACAGAGCCCATGGTGGTGGGGGCCACAGTGCCCCCACTCCCTGATGGGACCCCGGCACCAGGGACAGTGACAGAGGTGGCTGCAGCAGTTGCGATGGTGGTGGTGGCTGAGGCCCGGCCTTCTCGGAGGAGTTCAGTGCACTTGTCCACAATGTGCCACATTTGGAGCACAGACCCCACTGTGAGAAAGTTGACAATGTCAGCAGCAGCCATGCTGAGACGGCCAGTGTAAGCAGAGGCCAGGACAGTCTCGAAGGCGCCTGGATCCATGACGCTGGGCAGTGAGATGGAGGTCATGCCCTTGAGTAGGACCTGGTCATGAAAGTAAGGGGAGGAGGCTGCCAGGACAGCTCGGTGAGCCCGGAACTCCCGGCCCTGTACTCTGATAGACACATCGCAGAGCTGGCCCTGCAGCCGCTGCTGATTGAGGGATTCCAGAAGAGCACTGGTCACTTCAGGGAAGGACACATGTACCACTGCAGCCGCTGGCAGGGGTAGTGGGGGTGGAGCCAGAGAAAGAGGCAGAGGGAGGGCTGCCCCACTGGGAGACAGAGGAGATGGCTCCATGCTGTGGAGGGAGGGGATACCCCCCCCAGCCACGGGAACAAAGGAGGGAGGAGGGCAGCCGGGGGGTCTCTGGGAAGAAAAAGAGAGAAGAATGATAAAATCTCATGATGGCACAGCCCTTTACAGTTTTAAAATGTTCACACCTGTTATCTGAGTAACTCCCCACAATAACACGGTGAGTTAGGTATTCCTTTTAACCCCATTTGACAGATGAGGAAACTGAGGCTTAGAAAGATTAAGAGATTATCCAAGGCTACAGAGCCATTAAGTGGCAGCACCAGCAAGTACAGGTGTCTGACTCCAAATCCTGTGTCCTTTCCTTAGAGGTTAGAGAAATAAGGTGCTCTTAGGGAATAGGGTGCCTTCCTTGGCACCCCATTACACCTTATTCTCAATCTGCCTGAGCGCCTGACTTTCTCAAATCCACTTTTTTGGTGTTTTGCACCCTTTTTGTGGAAGGGGGGGCTGGTCTGTTCCTCTACTGAAAACCACCCCTCGCTCCAGCTCCCTTTTAGACTATGCCCCCCAGCTTTCTCATAGACCACGCCCCTTTCGGCCCGTTAAGTTCTAGCCCTACCCCCTTCAAGACCCATTTTTGTGCTCCGCCCCCTCGGTCCTTTCGGTCCCGCCCCTTGCCTACCCCCCCGCCCACACAGGACCCCGCCCCCCCTGCCCCCCGCTCTGCCCCAATCGCTACCTCGGCCCCTTTGCCCACCCGGAAGGCGTCCCCCAACCTCGCGCGTCCTCGCTTACCGGGCCGCGCACCCCCGGGCCCCCCCCGCCCCTCACTCGGCGGCCAGAGCTGCAGCCTGAGCCCCTCCCGCCGCCATCTTGCGCCGACTCCCTCCGCCCTCCACCTCCGCTCCGCCTCCCGCCCCTCCGACTTTAAAGGCACAGGCGGGCACCCCGCCCGTGCTTTTGGGCCATACTCGGCCGACTCGGCCACTTCTCCTTTAAAGAACCGTCGCCTCCTTCCACCTTAAAGGTATCAGGTCCCCTCTTCCGCTGAGGGCTCAGGACCTGGTTCAGCCGAAGCATTCATTCCCCTTTAACTCGATAAGCCTGACTTTTCCCATTGGTGAAGGGTGCTGGCCGTCGTTCCCAAGACACCGCCCCTGAGCTGTGGCCATTAGCTGGCTTTCGGGATCTAATCGCCCTCTTCTTAGCTTGTGACAGTCCTCCTGATGCCCCGCCCCCTTCCTCCGGGCCTGGATTGGCCAAATAACCTTGAGTAGGCCTCTGATTGGCTTTTTTACTCCTACCGCTCCAAGCGAGAAAGCAAAATGTGTCAAGGAGGTTAAAGCCCATTTTTTAAAAAAGTGCCTGGCAGAGGGCACCGGGAAGACCTGAGGGAGAAGAAACCCCAAGATAGGAGTGCAAGGGCCACGTCAGAAAGGGCAGATCAGGGCTATCACGGGGGCTGGGCTAACCCTGAGCGACGGGACAGCTGATGCCAATCTGACAGTAGGACAAGGAAGACAGGAATACAATAAGAAAAGAACTTTATTGTTTATTATTTTTCTGTGTAAAATTTAAGCTTTTGTTTTTTAAAAAGAAACACCAACAAAAGGGGATTTGCTCAATTCATCCCTTTCTGTCATCTGCTTCCCACCATCCTCCAAATGCTGTCCGGAATATTTTGGAGGTGAAGAAAGGAGAGAGCAGCTAATCAGAGTCTGAGAGCACGATGATCTCCTCTGGATCGCACTGTGTGGCCACACTCATCTGTAGCGAAGTGAGAGACAAAGAGTCAGATCTGAAGTACAGGGGGAGGAGAAACAGAGGGAAGGATTTAGAGATTTAAAAATTGGATGGGAAAAAGGAAAAAAAAAATGGGTGGCTGGTGAATATTCAGAGACTGAAACAGAAAATGAATTACCACAAGAAAAACAGCCTCTTCCTCTTACCTTGTAAGTACTGGGCCCAGGAGGCTGTGATTGAGGGGTTTGGGACAGCTGGACTGGAGAAGGGCTGCAGAGGGAGCTGGTCACTAAGCCATGGCTGGGAGAGTCCACCCTCGTGGAAGAATCAGCAACTGGGGCCATGGAAGCCAAGGGGGATGGTGGGCTGGGCAGGGTACATATTTTTCTCCCATTCTTCTCATGCACTCCCATTTGCCTTTCCACATAGCTAGGAACAGAAACATGAATGCATGGAGTACAAGAAGACCGAGGCTGGAAGGAGAGTGTCCAGTCTCTCCCAACAGACTCAATTCCCCAATATTCCTCTCAGAAAACCCCTTGTGATCATTCCTTGGCTTCCCTCTTCCTCCTCTTGTTGTTGTTACCTGTTTCCTAATGGCCCTGATCCTGTTTGCTTCTTTTCCTTTCGGGGTTTCTTGCAGGGAGGGCTGGAATCTCCCTGGGCGTGAGGAGAGACACCTCCATTGAAAGAAGTGGAGGTGACAATGGCGGCCCCATTCTCTAAGACAGTGGTGAAGGGGTTCTTCTCTGACTGTTTCCTGGAAGAGGAAAT